TATATATATATATATATATATATATATATATATATATATATATATATATATATAACTTATCCAAAATGTTAACTTTTGTTTTTCGATAGGTTACAGTTACAGAAAGGGCTGGACATGCTTTCGAGGCTATGGCTTCTATGTCAGACAAGGAGCTTAATACATATGATGGAATCGTAGCTGTTGTGAGTAATTATATATTTGTATTCCTAAATAAATTGGGGTATCTTTTGCAAAATTTGAAATTTATGAAAATTTAGGGTGGTGATGGATTTTTCAATGAGATTCTGAATGGTATTCTGTTGTCAAGACATAAAGCTCCATATCCACCTTCCCCTCCAGATGATGAATCAGAAAGTGATGTATTACCTCATGATCCAACGGCCACGATTACAGAGCCTTCGGTTTCTAGGGAAGATGAGTCTCCACTTCTCTCCAGTTCGCCACTCGGTGGATCACAACCCGTGAAGAGTATAAGTACTCATCTTTCTTCACGAGTCTCCATTTTTTTGTTTTAATTTATTTTGGAATATCATTCACTTATTATATTATGTTCTTTTAGCAGATGAAGATTCTGAAATGTCTTTCCCAAATGAGAGATTTCGATTTGGGCTTATTCCTTCCGGTTCTACCGATGCTATTGTAATATGGTAACTTCCTGTTAAATTCAAGAAATAGCAATGTACTTTTATTTATAGCATCCTACTTGGTTGTGTTTATGTGTGAATTCCCTTTGACTTTTTTTATTTTATTTTAACAGCACAACTGGAGTTCGGGATCCGATGACATCAGCACTACAAATAATCTTGGGTAAACGGTTATGTCTTGATATAGCTCAAGTAGTCAGATGGGAAAAATCACAATCCGGAAAAGATCCTCGTGTACGCTATGCAGCTTCTTTTGCAGGGTAGACTTGTAATTTCACTTGACTTGTTCTTTTTGGAAGATGGAAGCTTTCCTCTCACCTTTTTCTTTCTTTGTTTCTCGGATGTTACCAGTTATGGATTTTATGGAGATGTAATTACAGAAAGCGAAAAATATCGCTGGATGGGTCCAAAGCGATATGATTATGCAGGAACAAAAGTCTTCCTTAGGCACAGGTACGCCTTGGCTCTATCTGTTAAGTCGTTCTTTCTGTATTAAGTCATGTTAGTTGTGCTCATATATCTTATCTTGGAAGGTCATATGAGGCGAAAGTAGCATATATGAAAGTAGAAGCAGAAAAAACAAATGCGGGTGCGAATGCAAGAAGGGTAAAGGCTTTTTGGGGTTTATCTAAGGAGTCTGAAAGAGTGCCGTGTCGTGCCAAATGTGACATTTGTAATACACCTGTCACCCCACAAATGGAAACACGGGACCCACAAAAAGAATCGAATTGGGTGAGAGTTAAAGGAAGGTTTCTTAGCATTGGGGCTGCTGTAATCTCTTGCAGAAATGAAAAAGCACCCGATGGGTTGGTGGCTGATGCACACCTTGCAGACGGTTTCCTGCATCTTATTTTGATCAAAGATTGTCCTCGTGCTTTCTATTTATGGTAAAAACATGCAACTTCTCTCAATCTGTGTCACTGTCTAAGTCAAACACAGTACAACTTGTTATGTTATGTCCGGTTTTCTCCTAAATGTGACCAATGATGTTTGATTGGTCGTATGTAGGCATCTCACGCAGCTAGCAAGGAAAGGTGGAACACCACTGAATTTTGATTTTGTTGAACACCATAAAGTAATTTTTTTTATTTTTTTTTATATAAAGAAATTGGAATAAAAAACGTAACCTTATTGTATTGAAAACATTTTGTTTATTTTTTACAGACTACGACTTTCACATTTACTTCTTCTGGGGAGGAGAGTGTGTGGAATGTGGATGGTGAGATACTTCACGCACAAAAACTCTCTGCGCAAGTCTTTCGTGGTCTTATTAGTTTGTTTGCTTCGGGCCCTGAAACATAGGTTGATCAGATAGGAAATGATGGTTTTGCCCCTGATTTATCTATACCCATGTATTTATTTGTAAATTCTTATTAAATGTATATACATAGACTTTTTTTTTCACAAAATTGTAGACATTATGAACAATAGCGTGAGTTTACAAAACTAAATGAAATTTGTTTTATGTTATTTTGTGCATTTTTATTTTATTAGGCTTGTGGGTACACCTCCCACGCTAAGGGCGTGGTGATGTGTGGCATATGCATGGAGTCGTGCACACTGCCCCATTGAGGTCTAACATGTTGGTTCTTACATTGGAATCTCTTCAACATCATAGTTGAGGTCATTCTTGTATCAACGTCTGATGTAGACCGGATTGACCTCAACAATGATGTCGAAGGGATTCCACTGTAAGAACTCCTTTGAAGACTGGTTGGAATGGATAAAGGAAAATGAGCGGCATCGTCTTCCCGAAAAACCATATTTTGAGCTCTCTTTCCCAAATCTTAATTGGTATGCAATTTTGAAGATGTTGGATGATGATGTTGTGTTGGGGACCTCAAAACGATTTTAATGGTAAAAAGGAAAATTCATGGAAAATGTAACAATATATTGTTTTTATCTAGTTTAATGTAATTTTTATTTGCTTTTATGAATGTAATTTTTATTTAACTTTATGAATGTAACTTTGTATTTAAATAATTATAAAACAAGAATAAAATGATGACATGGAGTGGTAAGTATTTTCTAGATAAGCGGCGATGATGAGATGTTGAAGTGACAATACTTTTGGTAAGTAGGGTCGGACCTACTTGGTTGCTCAGGGTCAAAGGCGAAGCCACTTAGAACCAAGGTAGGTTCTAAGACATACCTAATTTTTTTAATTTCATTTAGTATTTATAAGGAATGAATTTTAGCACCTACATTGGAAAACATTTAAGACCTATGCTATATTATTTGACAAAATAAGAAACAAATAAATAAAAAAATTGTGGAGGGTTTATACTTAAATTTGCAAAGAAAATTGTTAATGTTTATCAAAACCTATCCCACATCCGAGATAGAGAGAAAGAGATGCAAAGAGATGCAATTGTTTGTTGTTATAAAATGAACGGTAGAGGGTTATAAAAACTTTTGACAAACAATACAACTCCTCCCATACTGTTGGTTGTAGGAAATGATCGTTGTGCATTGCTTCTTTTAAAAGAAAAGCCACTCATTTATGTAAAGTAGTTATTAATGTTTTTTTTTGGCAAAAATCCAATTTTAGGGGTTAAGGTTGGTTTTCATTGGTTTGGCTCGACCCGCCATATGTATTGTTGACTCTTTGGTTTTTTTGGTTTCATTTAATTAGGGAACCAGGTGTTTTCCTATTTTAGATTCGGCACTGCTTGGGGTAGCCCATGTTATCCCTCAAATTTTTTGATAAATTCTCTGGCATAGTATAATTTTTCCGGTGTGCTACACATAAAATCATGTATGGCCTGACACTTTGTTCTTTGTTTTGGTCCGCCACTACATAAGTCGACTCTGAGTCAATATGAAAGTCTCCTTTTAATGGTTGACCAAGTCTATTTGTCTGCCGTGCAGAACCAACAAAAAAAAAAGTTATATTGGGTCCTCTAATGACTCCAAAAGTCTTTGTTGGGATTTCCCATCTTTAGAACTGATAATCTTTTAAATATTTGTAGATACATAAATCCATTCATTAAATTCATAATCGATTACAGAAGAACCAAACTCCATCAGCAACAATGACTACCCCGAAGGAGTAAGCCCTCTTCTATACCATTTTTTAAAATTCATTATTTTCTGTAAGAAGATGGATGTTTCAGAAATTTGCTGATAAATAAATAATCAGGTATTATAATTCTTTACCACCTGTGGCCAAGACATATGCAACGATATGTTTAGCAACAACCGGAGCTTATCATCTTGGGCTTTACTACCCTGATACCATAGCTCTCGTTTACAAAGACGTTTTCACACGATTTCAGGTAAACTTCACTAGCTCACTGATTTTTTTTATTTACTTCTACACAAATAGTGCTACTTGTAATATTGTTGTGGTGCAGATTTGGAGGCTTATAACAAACTTCCTTTTCCTCGGGCCTTTCTCTTTACCATTTGCGTTTCACCTGCTGATGATGTAAACTTTTTCCCAATCTTATACCGTTTTTGCCACTACATGGAAGTTGAATTTTCTTTAAAGTTAAGGTGTTTTTTGTTCTAGATTACGTTATGGTGTTTCTTTAGAGAGGGGTCCTTTTGACAAGAGGACGTCGGATTACGTATGGATGTTCTTCTTTGGATCATTCTCGCTACTGGTATGGTAGCAAAGAACATGTCTTTTTTATGATGATGATGATGATGTTTTACTTAAGAATATGGATGATGATGATGATGATAAATGGTGTCTTTTTTAGGCTATGGCTGCTGTTCCATTTCTTTGGTCTCCCTTCATGGGAGCCTCGTTGGTGTTCATGATTGTTTATGTCTGGAGCCGTGAGCTCCCTAACACCCGTATTAACATTCAAGGTCTCGTGGAGTTGAAGGTATCATAATTCTCTCTTATTTATGAAGTTTTACTGGGCTCTTTTAATATATTTTGATGGTTTAATGATTTTTTTGAATGAGAGAATGTAGGGGTTCTATTTACCTTGGGCTATGCTTGCATTAGATTTAGTGTTTGGCAATCCATTGATGCCGGATTTACTGGGAATTGGTGTTGGTCATTTATATTACTTCTTGACGGTTCTTCACCCTCTTGCTGGTGGCAGAGATTTCTGCAAGACTCCTCTTTGGGTGTATCCTCCTTCGCATTTTTTTCATTCAATTCTAGCAACTTCAAGTAGCAGAAAAAAAAAATGGAAACAATGTACGTATCAGGCATAACTACAGTTAGTTATGCCTAATACGTAGTAAGTCCCTATCAGGCACATAGTTAAGTTATGCCTGATAGGTAAATATGTAAGATACATTACATACTTGTACATATCATGCACAATGTTTGGGTTGTTATCCTTGAATCTTGTTTTATAGTCACAAGCTGGTTGCGTATTGGGGTAAGGGATACCAAATGAATAGTCCTGTTCAGAGGGACCCGGCCACCGGAGTTGCTTTCCGAGGGAGAAGTTATCGCGTTGGTGGGACCACAACGAGGGACAGCCGTGAAGGGGAAACAAACACAGTGACTACACAAAATGGAGCAACTTTTCGTGGTAGGGGTCGTCGCCTCAACGAAAGCTAAATCGTTACACTTCCATACTTTAGATGTTTACCTACGTACTATTTCGATAATAACACTTATAATATTCATGAAAACGAATAGACAAACTACCAATCTTGTTTAAGCAAATTATGTATATATATTATGCATTATTTCTTGTAAAAAGTACAATGTTGTTGTACCCCAGCCAAGCTTGGTTCTGAACATATCAATAATAATATTTGTTTAAGAACCAAGACTCAATTGGTGTAGTATTTGCAGTATTTTGGAGCCAAAAACATGTGCAATGTATTATGTAAACAATTTTATAGAATTTTCAAAACTCAAGGTTCTTTTTGAGAACCCAAATAGCATCTAAATCAAAACAAACATATGCACATAAAACAATTAAAAACGGTATTGCACCAAAAAAACTCACTCACATTATTTTCTTGATTGTACACACCAATACATACTTGTACATATCAAGCACATCGTTTGGCTTCTTATCCTTGAATCTTGTTTTATAGTCACAAGCTCATCATGTACTATTCACGGTATTTGGTACATGTTTTGAAGTCAAAATATATACATTTATAACATTTATATATGCTTTTTTAGCTCCAAGGTTCTTTTCAAGACCCAAAATGGCATCTAACTCAAACAAAAATATATGTACCTAAACTAAACAATCCTAAAAAATGGGATTCCACCAAAAATACTTCCTCAAATCATTGTTTACTTGATTTCCATTCCATTATTGCGGAAAGAAGTGTGTAATTTGGCGTTAAGCTTCTACACGGTAACGGTAAATTAGTCATGGGGGAAGTATCACTCGCCTCCAACCATTTCTCCATCGCCCTGCGATCATACGTGTAACCATCAGCAGCAACACAAGGATCAACCATAACATCCTGCATGAAAACAAAGTTATTTAAGGACAAAAAAGAAGAAAAAAAATCAAATTTATATACCCCGTTTAAAGAATGATATAGTAGAAGGACCAAAACTGTAATTTACTCATCTTTTTAATTTTCAAAAAGCAAGCGTACCTTGAGTATCGGGCATATGAAATGGTTCGGAGGGGTGGTCCGTGTCATGGATGCGATCCTTTGAGCGTCACCGGTGACCGCTTTCAGTCTTTCCAATACCGGAAGGACCGTCTTCTTCAAATCCGGCCTATCTTTCCGGCGAATTTCAGTGCAACTCAACCCTAAAACGGCCAACTCTTTTGCCTCATCAATCGGCCAATCACCAGCTTCAGGATCTAGCACCATGGCTAACTCATCATCTTCAATAGCAGTTTCCACAGCATCTGTTATCCCTATCGCCGGTTTGGCTGTCAGCAGCTGCAAAATCACCATACCCAAAGCATAAACGTCTGATTTTGGAGAAACGAGTCCCGTTCGTTGATACTCTGGATCGATGTAACAAAACGTTCCCGCGGGACCCGTGTCCTTGTACACGGTGCTTGTGGAACATGAGTCTGATTGAAGCATTGTAGAGAGACCAACATCACCGATCTTGCTCACGAGATTTCTATCGAGTAAGATGTTTGCTGGTTTTAGGTCACGATGAACAATCGATTTTGGCTTCGCGCTGTGAAGGAAAACTAGGGCTGATGCTACTTCCCACGCGATACGGAATCTATCGAACCATGGAATCGGAGGTGTGTTGTTTTTGCGAAATAATCTCTCGTCTAAGCTCCCGTTTTCCATGTATTCATAAACTAAGCAACCATGATCCACACACGCACCGATAAGAATCAGCAAATGGGGATGCCGTATTCTGCTCAACACTTCAAGCTGCAACATCATTGATTAGGTTTCAGTATGTGGGCTTCTACAAATCTTTATTAGTTAAATTGGAATCATATTTCATACCTCCTGCTGAAATTGTTTGGTTCTGTGAGCTTCCTGAGAATGAAGAACTTTCACAGCAGCAACTGTATGATGAAAGCTCGATTTGTACACAATTCCGTTCCCTCCCGTTCCTATCTTAAGATCTTCAGAAAACGAAGAACAAGCATCCACGATTTCTTCCCAGGTGAATTTTTGGTAGTGTGGAGAACTCCCGATTATGGCATCCAGAAGCTTTTCTTTCTCTCGATGTTCCTGTAACGCATTCTCTTCTGCATCTTTCCTCACGGCAGCTTCTCTTCTTAGACATTCTTTTACATATTCCGCTTGTCTTTTAGCTTTTTCGTGCTCCTGCTTCTCTTGTTCAGCTAACGTTTTTGCTTCCTCTTCTTTAGCTTTTAACTCCTTGAGCTTAATAGATTCCTCAATCTGTCGTTCTTTAAGATCTTTCAGCTGAAAACAGTCAAACGGGTATCAAAATCAAAATCGATGAGATTTAAAAAAAATTAAGATTTGAAGAGGGAAAACGGAAATTACCTTTCGGGACGCATCAAAAGACTCATTTTGTGCAATTGCATACATCCCGCGAACGTGTCGGAGTTCAACTCGAAGTTTTTCCAGCTCAAAATCGACATTATTACCCTGCACATCGAGTGTTTGACAAAATTAGAGCTTGCTAGAACCCTAAATCAAGGTTTGGACGCAATTGATAGAGAAGAAACCTGAATTTCTGTTGAAAATTCTGAATGGGCGTAAGAGCTGGAAGCCTGATCGGATGTCCAAGAATGGTTTTCAGTCCCGAAGCTTCTGGCGCTGAAATCGTTACTATTTGCCCGATAAAAGTCGGTATTTTTCTCGGGATTTTCGAACGAACTGGTTCTTTGGTGAAGGGTCCGGTTTATAGATGAAAGCGCTTCGAATCGTTGCATTGGTAGTGAAGTTGAAAAGAACTGGGAAAAGGAAGTAGCAGCTGACCCTTGGTCTGTCCACTCTGTTGCAAAATTATAAATTAAAAAATAATTTTTTTTGGACTTTTGAGGTCAAATCCATAATTATCAGAATTAAAATTCGTATGAATCTTGATTTATATTTGATACCAACATCTTTCTACTCATTCTAATTGTTATAGTCTTTAAGAAAATAGAAGAATTTGTATCGAAATTGACTTAGAAAATCAATCTCGTTGACGTAGTAAGTCAAAGGTGTTCTTTTTCATGATTATACGAGGTACCTGTTCTTGAAGAGTTGGTGACAGAACTTGAATCACTACTGTTATCATCTTTACTCGATCCAATGGTATCAGAATCAGAAGCCCGGAGTGACGATAATTTCCCTTTTGAAATCGCATACACTGTACAAAAACTCGGAATGCTTTCAGATATTCTAGACGACAAACCTTTCCCCCTGGAACACCAAGAACACATCGATATTTAAATAAAATAATAAAAAAAGGAAAAAGAGAATAAAAGGTGCATAAAGAATTGGGTACCTCGAGAACATGCCACTCGATGAAGCTCCAATCACAAGCTTGTTAATATTGCCTTTTACAATTTCCTGTTTTATAGCATCCACCACATCATCTGATTCGATTTGCAAGATTTCTACCTGCACCTGAAAATAAAAAGAAAACTTTAATCTTATGATCAAGAATCAAGAAAATCATATAAAAATCAAACCTTTTTCTTGGCACACATGTTCTTGAAAGGAAGAAGCTTTTCGTATGCTTGCCATTCGGCTTCCTTTTTGTAAGCAATTACTACATCATCTCGAACTTGTGAAGCAGGAACAACACCCACTGTAAAAAAATTAAGGATTTTTTTTTTTTGAAATTATATGAGAAGTGAAGGGTTTTTGAAAGTGAAACTTACTGGGTGTTGGGATTCGAGTGATTTTAGGGCGAACAAGGATCAATTTGAAGAGAAGAATACCCTCAGGAACGAATTTATCTAATGCCCATCTCACCACATATTTGGTTTTTTTATTTCCGTTGACGGCTAAAGCAACGACCAAATATGAAGGCGTTGTTAATTTATCCACCCCTTGAATCATTCCTTCATCCTCCATTTTTTTTTCTGCAAAATTAACCATAGGAATGTATGAAACATAGGATATGAAAGAATTGAAAGGTTTCTTGAAAATAATTTCAAACCCAGAAACGATTTGAGAACCTAACTGCAGCTATTACATATAGCCAACCAATTTCTTGAAATAAAGGTTAAAAAATCAAGAAGATTTTTCATCAAGATTGAAAACTGGAATGGAGTTGGTGTGTGTGAGAGAATTTCGGAGTCTTGAAAAACCCAGAAAAATAAATCTTTGATAACCTATAAAAATTATGAATTTAAGGTTTGGTAAAAAGTTATAATCAAGTAAAGCGAAGCTTTTAAGCCCATACCAAATCATATGAAGTCTTTCAAATCAGATTGAAGAACTCATTACTGATAGAAGACATTTTCAAGAACAACAAGAATCGAAGGTTCTCTCCCTCTCTCTCTAGAATATCTTTGATTACGTGATCTTCTCTCTCTAGAATCGCTTTGATTTCGTGGAAAGATTGGATCAATCGTGAAATCGGTTACTTATTATTAGGTGTCAAAGAGAACCAAAAACCTGAAAGCGACCCTGGGGTTAAGTTAAAGAGAAACCTTGCCGTAATCGCACCTCCCAAAACTGGATTTGTTTTATTATTTATTTGTGGAATTGTGGAATTAACAATGCCACAGTGTTTTTGTTGTTCAACGACAATGATAAGATGATTTGATATCCATAATTAATCTTTTTTAAACATTTAATTTTGGTCCAAGTTATTAGTTTATGTCAACTTGATAACATGTGACAAAGGACTTCTCATTTGACATTACTTTTCTATAATTGTACCTTTTGGCAGGTAAATTTCCATGGACTTTACATGTTTTATAACAAATTTTCTAAAACCATGGTGTTGGTTGCTTGTTGTCTTCTATAAAAGAAAATATATTACTAAGAGGCTTATAATACAAAATGTCACGGCAGATCATCTGACATTTAAATCGGCATTACTCGCACCAAATTCGATTAAACCTTTATGAAAAAGGTCAAACTTATCTCTAAATTTTAAGTATTGTTAAATAAAAAAGAGTGATAAAAAATCCAGGAATACTTTCACAAAACTGAAAAACTCCTTTAAATATTAATCTTAAATTTTATATAAGATAAGGATATATGGTGAAACACTTTAACTCTAGTCCCACCACCGACGGTCTCCCTTTATACTTAGAGCGACTCTAACCACATCAATTTTTTGTGTTTTGAATTTGTTGGATGCAAAATATCATTTCAGCCGTGCTCTATTTTCATCATCAAAGTGATTAGTAACATTGTTTGACAAAAACTAGCAAGTAACTATAAGGTAGTTTAAAAAAAAATTATAAAATTGTTTGACTAAAATAGATATAAAACATTAAAGCTAAAAGCTAAAATATGTGTCTTGTGTGTTGATTATTACAATTTTTTTCTGCCAATGTCATTAAAGATTGATGATAAAAAAATCAATACATATCGACATAAGGCAACCGAGCAACAAGATGCGTCGCTAGCTTTTTCTGGATGGTAAAACCAATTCTTTTGAAAACAACATCTATGGATTTAGGAGATATAACATTATAATACATGACCCGTTAGACTCTGTTGAGGAGTTTCACCACCTCTGGTGTGAGAAAACCAAATGTATCAAATGTGAAATGTATAAACACATGTTGTCATGTTGGTTTTCAATGCATGCATTCTCATGCTTTGCCACTTTGCACGTGACGGCTTTCAAAGCGGTATGTCCCGATGTGAAACCTCCGCTCCTCAAACCGACGAGAGGGGAGACCTCAGTAAGATCCATACAAGTGCTTCCCTCCTACCCATCCAAATACCAAAATGTCATCCGACTTGAGAGTGGATCTTCCATCCAACGGGTTTGTCAAAAAGTTCACAGACGCTTCTTTCTTTACGGAAATACCAACTGTTGAGTCAAGAAATATTGAATCTGATGATGTGACATTTCTGATTGAGAAGGTGTTGAAGTAATAGATAGAGAAGTTATGTTATCTATATCAAAGGTGAAGAACCTTTGATATATTTATCTATTTTAGTGTGAACCTTGATGTTATACTTTAGGCCTTAGTCACACTATACATTTTGGAGTCTATGATAACACTAGTATATATAGTATTGTAGTCTTAAGTGTTTTTTTTAACAACAACAAAATTTTATAAAACCAAGAAAAAGCAAGCCAGAGCCTAACACAAAAAACAAAGTTAAGGCAGCATTGGATTGGTTAACCACCCAACCCAGTTATTAATAGCCTTAGAATTCCTAGAATAAAACCAACGAAAAGACATCTCGGCAATATTGTCAAAAATAAATTGTTTCTTATACTTAGAATGGGAAAAATAATTGAATTCCTATAGGACCAAA